TAGCTGAACCACCGACACAAATTTATAGACACGATAGAATGAAAATTGGAGTTGGTTTTCTGATATTACAATAAGCATAGCAAAGAGATGCAGTATAATTCGGCTTGTATTCACTCTGATTTCAAAACGTCTGGTCACTCACTCGTTCACTCACATTGTACATGAAGATAAAAGAATAACAGACCAATCTTGAATGATTTCAATTTGGAATTCTCAATATTATCAAATTCATTATTATTATTCTTTTAACAAGTAATCTGCTTGTCAGCCGTTTGACAGGTTCAGGTTCGATTCCTTGTTGATTCACTACTGAACCCAGTCTAGTTCATTAGCCATTAAAAGAGGAAATGTTAGGCGTGAGGCTAGAAACCTCACCACCACCACATTTGAGACTTCACAGCTTCAGGCAGTATGTTTCACTCAGATGACAAGGAATGAAAAAGATAGGGTCCTTTGTTCGAACGTTGGAGGATGCGTACTACTGAAGAGTCCCAAACTGGGACAAAACAGCTCTGTACCTGTACTCTCTAGTTTCCCAAAGGTTCTCTAACTGATGTCAACCCTTGATCAAACCTGTAACCAATCAAATCCCTGCAAATCAACACCTGATAATTAACCGGACTCTCACTAGCGACTAGCTCCATACAGGAAGTTACCTGGAGTTCCAGTGAGAATTCGTAACCAAAGAGGTTCACCAAGTCAAGCAGGAGAGCATTTACTTGCCTATGACACTGGCTGCCTGTTGCTCTACATGTTAGGAAGTAGTAGAAGTTGGAATTCATCAGTCATTGATTTACGTCCCAGTAGGCGCATGCTGATGAGGAGTTTCGAACTGGGGCGAAACATCTGTCTTATAATCCCTCGTTTTCCAATGATTCTCTCTCTAACTAATGTCAGCTTGCGATAGAACCTGTGGGGAAATTACAGAAATAAGTACTTTATTGGCAGTAATGAAGTTGTACACTAAAGAAAATTGATTTTCTCATCTAGTCAAAATCAGTCGACTTAACGTAAACGTCTGAAATTACTCTCACTGATTATTAGATGTATCCCAAAGTGGAGAGACAGTATTATTTACTGGATGACGACGTTTCGAGCAAAATTTATTGTCCATAATCATATCGTCAATTATAATCACACGAATTTGACACTTGAGTTTTATAGTTTTCTTTGTTCTCTCCTATTTGTCGTCCTTGAGGTAGTAGAATTTTCCAGATATCGAGGACAGGTGATGAATCATTCCCATTACATGTATTTGCAGTTGATTCGATAAACAAAGCTTCTGTTATCAATCTCTCCCTCCATTCACCCTGTTACATTAGATTTTAAAACTGTCATCCTATCCCATCCTATTGTATGGTTATGTGTAACTGCATGTAGTGCTTTAGCTGAACTATTCTCCAGATTTCTTATCTTATTCGGGTTAACCAATCTAGATTTTGCTAGGTTTTTATGCTCGGCTAGTTTGACTGCCCCTGTTCTACTACTCTGACCTATGTATTTGACCTGACAATCATTCCAGCAGGGTATTAGATAAACTAAATTATTTTGTTTTAAAGGCTCCACAGGATGCTTTAAGCCACAAAGCTTGTTTCTAATTGAGTTTGTGGGTTTGAATGTCAGCCACTTTTATTCCTGCCTTGTTAAGAATTCTGCTTAAGGTTTCCGAGGTTCCTTCCTTGTATGGAATTACTACTGATGATTTAGATTCCTTATTGTTGGTGTTGTCATTATCTTGCGCATATTTGACATGCATATCGTCATTATTATTATTATTATTATTATTATCATTACTATCACTAATATCATTATTTATTTATTATATTTACATTTCCCTACATATTTCCTGACTAATTTATCAGGGTAATTATTAAGTTTCAAGGATTCTCTTATATGTCTCACTTCCTGTCTTAGATTTTCCTTGGGACTACTTAGTTTCTGTGCTCTATTATCTAAACATTTCAGCAATCCTATTTTTACTGACATAGGATGGGATGATTGAAAGTCCAAATATCGGTTTGAATGTGTGGGTTTCCTGTAAACACTAGTGTTTAACTTCCCATCTTCTTTCCTTTTTACGCTACAATCTAACATTGGAAACTCCTCTTCCTGACTTTCCAATTCATAAGTGAATTAAATTGCCTCCACGTTTGAGTTAATGTGTTCGAAAATTCTATCTATATCCTGTGTTCTGAGTATAGTGAATGTGCCATCTACATACCTCCAACATACTTTTGGGGTGGGGCTAAACGTTTCAATCGCTACCTTTTCCCACATATGCATGAATATATATGCCACAACCGGGGATATTGGTGATACCATGGCAACTCCCTCAGTCTATTTGTATATTTTCCCTTGAAATTTAAATACTGTGGAAGTCAAGCATAGCTGTACTCCCAGCATTATGTCCTCAAGTGGCACTTTCGTCCTAAGTTCCAGTTCTTGGTTAGAAATTAGTTCGTTTCTGACTGCCTCTATAGCCATATTTATTGGTATACGTTCAGTTCAGCTATAGCACTACATGCAGTTAAACACAACCATACAACAATATAGGATAAGATGACAGTTTTAATATGTAATGTCACAGGGTATAGGGAGAGATTGATAACAGAAGCTTTGTTTATCGAATCAACTGCAAATACGTGTAGTAGGAATGATTCAACACCTGTTCACCCAGATATCTGGAAAACTCTACTACCCTCAACGACGACAAATAGGAGAGGACAAAGAAGACTATAAAACTCAAGTTTCAAAGTCATGTGGTTATAATTGATGTAACGATTATGGACAATAAATTTTGTCCGAAACGTCGTCATCCAGTAAATAATACTGTCTCTCCACTGTGTGATACATCTAATAAACAAACTAATATGGAATTACTTACTACCGCAGTGCCCATGTTTTACACATATATATCACTCTCACTGATTTTTATTGATATATACCTTTAATACACGAACAATTGTTTTGCTAACTGTTCATATTCAAAAATCCTCCACTATGAAGACTAATCAGTTTTTCTCTTCCATTAACCGAGTAACATATGGGGTTCAATATTCGATATAGAATACGAAAAAAGCCACAATTTCAAACCACAAAAAACCACACCTTATGGCTTAACAAATTGGTACATTGTTTCCAAAATATGACTGCATAAATTCACTGACACATCTCTAAGGTGTTTTTATCCAGTTGTTATACCGCAGAAATTGTTGAATAAATGGTTTTATTATCTAACGTCAGAGGCTTATTTCCCTAGTGCAGTGTTCATAATACTGAGTTATATTATTAATAAGGTTTTCATACCTGACTTTATTCTAGTATTGATTTCTTCTCATTATAACTAAATGATGCTCATTCATTTCGAAATGCTGAGTCATTCAACCATATCTCTTTGTTCTAGAAAAATATCAGTTCGACATAGTCTGAAAGCATATAATTGGACGAAGTGAATCATAGTGTAGTGGGAGAAGATCAGAGACTTGGTAACGGAATATTTATTTGGAATTTGATATCTCTATATAGGGAAATTGTATACACCTTATCTAAAAATCGTCGTTTGCAACTTATCTTCCATGCTGTGCTACTTCTGCCCTTCGTATTGTGTTTCATTGTCTTCTTTTCGTGTCTCCCATGTTTTACTGAAACGCTGGTTCATTTGCTCTATTTTATTTGACGTCAAATCTATCTCTCTGTTATTTGATATTTTTACGACGATCAACGTCTCTTTATATACTACTGATAAATCTTGTCAGTAGCACATACCACAGTATTAATAATCATCATATATCCATTTGATAAGAAGTGGCTAAAACTGCATAAAACATGCCTTTAAAAATTTAAACTACTTAGCTGAAGCGAGAATTGGCGCGTCATAAAGAGCACCTCAAACAAACTACAGACCTTCATCAACAGTTGTCTTCGCTCATTACTCAAGATCAGATGGCCAGTCAGAAAAGATCAGCAACAGGGATCTCTGGGAGAGAACCAACACAGCAGGAACCGATTGTGCAACAAATAAGCAGGAAGAAGTGGAGATGGATTGACCATACTCTGAGGAAACAAACCAGCAAGTGACATCACTAGACAAGCCATTGCTCGAGTGGAACCCGAAAGGGAAGAGGCGAGTTGGTCGTTACTGCAAGGGTGACTTGGAGGAGGTCATGTGAAGAGGAGATGAAAACGTGTGGACAGACTTGGAGCCAGGTGAAAACTTTAGCAGAAAACCAAACGAAATAGAGACGTGCGGCCTAAACCCTATGTTCCTCTAGGAATTAAAGGAAACAATAATAATAATATAATAGCTGAAGCAAAACATTCCCATGATACTACTAGACAACATTAGGGCTTCAATTTTTATAACCAATTAAATTATCAAGGGTTAATTCGTAGAGATTTACTTTATTTGAAGTTTGATCAGGGATTTTTGTCAGTTAGAGAACCACTGGAAAACCACCAGGGAGTGCTGGAAAGCTATCTCGTCCCACTTTGGAACTCTTCACTCACCAAGGTTCGAAACTAGGGCTTCCGGCTTTCAAGGCAGGTTTATAGGCCATTCATCCACTGGAACACGGTTAAACGGCCCATGGATTCTGACTTTTAGCGCGATCACCATCTAATGTCCACTCCTGACGTGGAGAGATCTGCTAATTACGACTCCTCACCAGAACACCAGACAACTTCGTCCTGCAACTAGTCACCAGCGAGCATCAGAATTATTTTCAGGAGTTGTCTTGTAGGCACTTGATTTGTTTCAAGTTCGATCAGCCCAGACAAGTGTGTCTTCTGTGTTAATTTGTGTGAACTGTGGGGTCAAGGGTCAGCCGATTAGAAATTAGTAATGATCTTCAGACAAGTTACTTATTGCCTTTCCGTGTCGAATCATAGTCGCAGAATTATTATTAATGCCCGTCAAATTAACTCATATCAAAAGTATCAACCAAACTGATTATCGTTTTTAATTCTAACTGGATTGTTTATTTTTTGTTTTCTTTTTGCAGAGGTTATTGGCACGGTGAAGTTGATGTACATATTTTTGAAAATTTAAGTCGTTCAGAAAGACGAAGATTTTGGCAAGATGTTACACGATTAATGATGACTAGACATGAAAATATTGCTCTGTTTATGGGTGTTTGTGTTGAACCGCCCAACTTTGCTATTGTGACTAGGTAAGTAAAAGAAGTTCTGAGGTAGGGATTTTGTTTGATTGGTTGGAAGATTTCATCATGAGCTGACATCGGTTAGAGAACCATTGGAAAACCACCAGGGAGTAATGGACAGGTTTTCCCATCGTCCTCGTTTGGGACTCTTCACAGTACGCACCCACCAACGGGGTTCGAACTCAAGACCTTGTGGGTAAAAGGTGAGTTCAATAGCGACTGGCTCTATTCAAGTAGTTACCTAGGGTTCTAGTGGGAAGTCGTGACCAGTAAGGTACAGCAGGTTGAAGATGAGGCAGTAACTCATTGAAGAAGACATTGCGAAATGGTCGCGCTATGTCGTGAATTGGCAGAAGTTAGGATTCATGGGCCGGCCGTTGGGTTGGCTCCCAGTGGCTTAATGGTCTACGAGCTCGCTAGCCTTATCACCAGAAGGTCCTGAATTCCAAACCTGGCGGTGGATGCGTACTGATGAAGAGTCCCAAACTAGGACGAGACAGTCACCTAGTACTTCGTGTTGGTTTTCCATTGGTTCTCTTACCGACGTCAGCTCGCGACGAAATCCTCCAACCAATCAAAAAGCTCTACAGTTTTTTATTACTTTTATTCTGAGTGAAACACAGGGACTCAAGCTTTGAAGTTTCAATAGTGGTGATGCTGTTTTCTCAGGATGGGTTCGCTTGCCTCATGCCCGACCTTCCCTCTTTACTAGGTTTATACTGTCAGGTGGTTAACTAGACTAGGTTTAGCAGAAAGTCGACTGGAATTTAACCCGGTCCCTCCGCCTCATCGGTGCCGAATTTCCTGCATTTGCGTTTTTTATCGGTTTTCACACTGACTCATACACGTATCGACAAACCTGTATCGTATGGTGATAATCAGCGAATATATATACATCTGTAAACACCAGAATATACCCGTATGATCAGTGCAAAAATATTACGGTAAAGAGACGGTTGTAGACAAAGAAAACTGTATTCTTTTCAACAAAATAATCAACTAGACTTTGTGTACATTTGAATAGTAAGTTGGCGCATAATGTTTGGTTAATGAAACTGTCAGTTTGCAGACTGCACAGTTAGTGGTGTGGAGATAACCATGGCATCCTATGGAAATCCAAAATATTCATGTCTCAAAGTACGATCTGTTTGATACGTTAAATGACAGTCAACAAAGCCAGTATAATTGTATGAGGATTTATACTATTGATTGATAAGAATAGTTGGGAATCAATCACGTCAAATAGTAGTCTAGTAGTGCATTAGATTAATTCGATCTGGATGGCCAGATTTACTGTTTGACCTGAATGGCTTACATCTACTCATATTAATCAGTAGTATTGTAACAACAGAAGACAACGACCAGGCAACAGATGGTTTATTAAGGAAATCAACACATATTTATAGATTTTCATGAACATTATTATAGATTATTGTAAGCAAACAAACACAGTCTTCTGATTAGTGGTTTCTCGCTGAACGTTAATCTTTCATCTCTTTGTGGCCGTTTCTTGAAGTTCAGATTATCTATCTGCAAATTGTATCCACCTGCGCAAAGTCTACTGTGACTGGTTGTTGAATCAGTCTTTGTTCTTATTTTTCTCATGACCAATATTGGGGATATAAACATTGATGTAAATTACTGTCTACCAATTTGACTAGCAGCCAGCTCTCACCACAGTATATGCCATCATTCAAAACATATAGCAGATTAAAGTGATATCTGCTGTGGATTCAAGCTGCAACCAACCAAATCCCTGCAAACCAATAGCTGATAATTAATCTAATGCACACTAGTGACTGGCTGTATACCGGAGGTTACCTGAAGTTCTAGTTAGAATTCGTAGCCACTGCGGTTCACCATTTCAGTCATGTACGACATTGGCTAGCAGTTGTGCTATATATCACGAAATAGCAGAAGTTAGAGTTCATGGGTCATTGGACCAAGTCTCAGTAACTGAATGGTCCATGAACTTGCCTTGTGACTGAAAGGTTTTCAGTTCGAACCGTGGTAGGTGCGTACTGATGAACAGCTAAAAACAAGGACGAAATAGCTGTCCAGTACTACCTGGTGGTTTCCCAGTGGTTCTCTAACTGATGTCAGCTCGTGACTAAACCTTTAAAAAACCAAACCCCTGCAAACCAACACTTGATTATTTGAGTGAAGTTAAAACGTGCTCATTGGCTAAGTCTAATTACTCAATGAGCAGAACACTTAAACGGGAGTTCAGAGGCGTTAGATTTTGATTTTGCTCACATGTAAACTTTAATTGCTATACCCATTAAGTAACTTGATTAAGTTATTTTATCACTGAACAAAACCACTAAATTTCATGCAACCGGTTCCCTTTATTAGTTTGAAGAGAGAAAGAACGAACGTGTTTGCACGAAATAAAACGAGCTCGTATTATCCTGCAAACATGCTCGTTCTTTCTCTCTTCAAAACCACTAAAAAATAGCACTTCAAGCCAGCGGAATAGCAAGGTCGACCACAGTAGTCAGGGTGTAATCCTCGTTCTTCCCTCATAGAAGGGAATTTTCGTAATCGTCAGAAAAGGAATGAAAATTGACAGTAACATTTTCAAGTATTGGTTTTAAAGGGATTTTGTTTGATTGGTTGGATGATTTCATCACGAGCTGACATCAGTTAGAGAACCATTGGAAAACCACCTTGGAGTACTAGACAGTGGTTTCTTCCTAGTTTGGGACTCTTCACAGTACGCACCCACCACCAGGGTTCCAGCCCAGGAACCATTGGCTTAGCGGTCTATGAGCTCGCCTTGTAACCAGAAGGTCCTGGATTCGAACTTCAGTAGGTGCGTACTATTGAAGAGTCTCAAACTAGGACGAAACAGCTGTCCAGTACTCCCAGGTGGTTTTCCAATGGTTCTCTAACTGATGTCAGCTCATGATGAAATCCTTCAACGAATTAACAGTAACGGTTCAAGTGTGATGTGAGGAAACGATCAAGTCATAACTGAACCAAATGACGTGATCAAAAAAACTACACATAGCCAAATCAACGTTTTAAAGGGGCCTAAAAGTGTATCTGTTCAAGTTGTCATATTTTGAAAAAGCAAAAAGCAAAAGATGTTCATTACTTGATAGACCCCTCAGGTACTGATTTCTCACTAGAACTTTAGGCAACTTCCTTTATACAGCCAGTAGCTAGTGAGCATCAGATTGGTTTGCAGCGATTTGATTGGTTACAGGTTTGATCACGAGCTGACATCACTTAAGGAGAGAACCATTGGGAAACCAGCAGGGAGTGTTGGACAGTTGCTTCGTCCTTGTTTGGAAATCTTCACCAGTACTCACCCACCAGGGTTCGAAACAGGACCGTCCGGTAGGTCATTCACTCACTGGAATCAGATTCACTGGTTAGTCAATTTCAACCTCTGCCGACTGACGATATTGTTTTTGACAAAATTAATGTTTTCTAAATAATATCGAATGATTAATATCAATATGCTAAGAGGTATATGAGAAAAGGCTGTTAATAGATTACAGTTGAAAACATGCGTGCATGTGCGTTGGTAGTTCAGCGGTAGAATGCTAGCCAACCACGCCACACGTGGTCCGGGGTTAGATCCTTGACTGACACACTCCCAAACCTCCCTAAGCAGGTAGTAAGGCCGGTAAAGAGGGTAGGATGGGCATGAGACCAGAAACCGAATCTCGTAAAAGTAAAACCACTGCTACCAAAACATTAAAAAACTCTAGTTTGAAGCCCTATTTTCCACTGGGAACGTAAAGGAATAAAATTTTAAAAAATTGGAATAAAATGTTACAGTATATATATAAATGTAGCATTAAATAAAACATCAGATTCGAAAAACAAATGATCATGAATGATAACAAATGCTTATGACTAATGTTCACACTGAGTTTTATTCAGACTACCTATAAACTCAGTGTATGTGTAAACCCTGGGCAATGTAGTAGTGCGTAATTCCATATTATATTTGTTTATTACATATCACACAGTGAAACAGTATTATTTAGTGGATGACGAAATTTCGAACATAATCTATTGTTCATAATCATATAAATTATAACTACACAACTTTGAAACTTTCGCTGATTGGTTTTCTTTACTCCGTCCTATTCGTCGCAGGGGTGGTAGAATTCTCCAGGTATCTGGTACAGGCGTTGCTTCATTTCTATTATTCTACGTATTTTCAATTGATTCGATAAATAAAGCTTCCGTTAGCAACCTTTCCCTCCACCCTGTTATATTTGCATTTTAAGACCCATCTTATCCCATCGTTTTGTTTTTCTGTCATTGGGAAATACAAAATATTTTATAATAATCTAGATTTCGCTAGGTTTTTGTGCTCCGGTAGTCTGACTGACCCCGTTCTACTACTTTAACCTATGTATTTGACCTGACAATCATTACAGGGTATTATATAAATTAAACTGTTTTGTTTAAATGGCTCCACGGGATTCTTTAACCGACAAAGCTTGTTTCTATGTGAGTACCACTTTTATTCCTGCATTGTTAAGATAGTTTCCGAGGTTCATTCTTTGTACGGAAGTACTACTGGTGATTTAAATCCCCTATTGTTGGTGTTGTCATTATCCTGTGCATGTTTGACATGCATGTCATCATTATTATTATTATTAAAGTAGTAGTATCACTACCAATATTATTGTAAATTTCATTTTTACATTTCCCTATATACTTTCTAATTAATTTATCAGGGTAATTCTTAAGTTTTAAAACTTCCTGTCTTAGACTTTCCTTGGCAAAATTTAGTTTTTTTGCCCTATTACTTAAACATTTCACCAATCCTGTCTTTATTGACATAGGATGGGATGTTCCGAAACCCAAATATCCGTTTGAGTGTGTGGGTTTTCTGTAAACACTAGTGTTTTTCATGCTACAATCCAGAATTGGAAGCTACCCTTCCTGACTTACCAATTAATAAGCGAATTGAATTGCCTCTACCCTCGAGTTGATGTGTTCGAAAAATCTATTTATGTCCTGTGTTCTAAGTACGATGA